CAAAAAAAAAAAAAAGAAAGAAAAAAAAAAAAAGCACTGGGAAGGGCAGGATGAGAAGGACACTTCCTTAACATGCTAAAGGGAATTCGCAACGAACCCACAGGCCACATCGTATTCAAAGGTGAAGAACTGAAAAGCTGTAAGGTCAAGAACAAGACAAGGATGCTGCTTTTCTCCCCACCACCCAACATTGCCCTGGAAGTTCTAGACTGAGCAATTAAACAAGAAAAAGAAATAAAAGTCACCCAAATTGGAAAAGAAAAGGTAAAGCAATCTTTATATGCAGATCATATGATCCTTTATATAGGAAAGCCCACAAGAAAGCTACTCAAGCTAATAATTTAGGAAAGTTGCAGGGCACAAGATCAATACACAAAAAGCTGTTGTGTTTCTTTACGCCTTCACCCGCAATGGGCAATCTGAAAAGGAAATTAAGAAAGCAGTTCCAGACTGGGCGCAGTGGCTCATGACTGTAATCCCAGCACTTTGGAAGGCCGAGGCTGGAGGATTGCTTGAGCTCAGGAGTTCGAGACCAGCTTGGGTAACACAGAGAGACATTATCTCTACAACAAAATTTTAAAATTAGCAGGCCATGGTGGCACACACCTGTAGTCCCAGCTACTTGAGAGGCTGAGGCAAAAGGATTACCTGAGCCCAGGAGGTCGAGGCTTTGGTGAGCCATGATTGTGCCACTGCACTCCAGCCTGAATGACAGAGTGAGGCCCGATGCAAAAATAAAATTGAAAAAGGGAGAATTTTCTCCAACAATTTTTTTGCTGCATTAAAAGAAAAACTAAACCGGGCTCGGTGGCTCAGCCTGTAATCCCGTGTTTGGGAGGCTGAGGTGAGTGGATTGCCTGAGCCCGCGGGTTCGAGACCCGCTTGGGCAACTTGGCGAGACCTCATCTCTACAGTGAAAAAAAAAAAAATTAGCCGGGCCTGGTAGCGCGCGCCCGTAGTTCCAGCTACTTGGAAGGCTGGGGTAGAAGGATCGCCAGAGCCCAGCAGGTCGAGGCTGCGGTGCACTCCGGTCTGGGCGACAGAGTGAGACTCCAACTCAAGAAAAAAGAAAAAGAAAAACTAAAAGGTCACAAAAAGAGAGACAGCCGGTCCTGATACATCCTGAGGAAAGAACCAGCGCCCCCTGCAGCCTGGCCAGAGGGCTGCAAGCTGAGTGGGATCGAGGGAGAGACCTAACTGCCGAATCACGGGAGACACAGAGGGCCGTGAGTGGGTGAGGGCCCAGGAGCTGGGAGAACAGGGGAGCAGCACCCAGTGCTGCACTTAAGATGACCCACTAGGAAGGTGAGTCTACGCACAGGTGTGCAGGGGCCAGGGTCTGACGCAGGATCGGGGGCTTGGGTGCATGTTCTGGGACTCTAGGTGTGGGGGCTGAAGGTAGAGACAGGTGCCTGGTGTGTTGGTGCAGAGAGAAACCTTCAGTGGGAGGCTGGCTTGGTCCCATGCCAACCCTGCAGGGCTAGGGACTGCATAGCCTGGCCAAGGACTACTGCCTTCCAGAAAGCTCCATGGATCAAGCTGGGTTCGGCAGGTAAGGCCTACATTCTTTTTGGTTTTGGTTTTGGTTTTGAGTTGGGGTCTCACTCTGTTGCCCAGACTGGAGTGCAGTGGCATAATCCGTTCATCGCAGCCCCAACCTCCTGAACTCAGGTGATCCTTCCTCTTCAGCCTCCTGAATAGCTGGGACTACAGGTGCATGCCACCACACCTGACTTTTTAAATTTTTGTTGTAGAGACAAGATCTCTGTGTTGCCCAGGCTGGTCTCGAACTCCTGGGCTCAAGCAATCCTCCTGCCTCAGCCTCCCAAAGTGCTAGGAGTATAGGCATGCACCACCACACATGAGAAATTAGGTCTCTTAAGGACCTAAATTCAAAATCCGGGGTGGAGTCCTGAGCAGGGAAGAGACACAGAGACCTCATCTTTTTGAGACAGCTGGTTGCTGGGGGTACCTGTAGCTTGGAAAGGGAACAGTAGTGCCTCCCCTTGGAGGGTGACAGGAACAACTTCAACCTCACATCCCCGGGGGCCACACAGAGAGACACATGCGACGCAGTCAGTGCTTCTGAACAGATGCTTTTAATGGGGAATCTTGGGGCGGGGGTGGCAGGAGCCACGGGCTCAGTTGGCCGCCAGGATCTCCTGCACCCAGGGCATGAGCTCAGTGACGCGGGCGTAGACGGCAGGTGTGGAGGTGGAGCAGGTGCCGCTGCCCCAGGACACGATGCCCACCAGGGTCCAGGCTCCGTCCTTCTGGCAGACCAGGGGGCCGCCGGAGTCACCCTGCGGGAGGCAAGAGGACATGTCTCCAGGCCTGAAAGAGGTCCAGCCAGGGCCCTAGGGACCCTGGCCAGGCGGCTCCAGAGAGCGGTGCAGAGGAATGATAGCGTGGGCTCAGAGCTTGTGCCGAGGTCCTGAGGTCTGGGTCCAGATGGCAACCCCAGCTCTGCCCTGCTGGGGGGACCGGGCAGGTGGCTTCCCTCCCTAAGATGACAGATGCTCATCATCTGTCAGGTGGGCTGAACACCAGCTCAGAGGGCTAGTGTGAGGGTGAGGTCCCCTTAGGAAGCCCCCGCCTCCCCGGCCCCAGGGAGCCCTCCGCAGCGTCTGTGAGCTTCAGTCTCGGCCTTCACTGGACACTAGTAAGGAGTGAGGTGAGTAGATGAGGCCAGAGAGGAGGCCAGGCCTCCAGGGCTGGGGCCCTGGGCACAGTCGGCAAGGTGGGCAGGGTGGCCAAGCGACCCATACCATGCAGGAGGAGACGCCGCTGGCCCCAGCGCAGACCATCACGTCGGTGATCTTGCTACCCCAGAACTTCTTGCAGTCAGCGTTGGACACGAGGGGCAGGGCTGCCTGCTGCAGCTTGTCGGGGGTCTTGAGGGCTGCAGGACAGGAGTGGATGGGTCAAGGCTCCTTGGGCCACCCAGCCCACCTTGGTGGAGAGACCTGTGGCCCCGACATCCTGCCCTCCCCTGCACCATCTTCCTCTTCGCCATGATCGTGGTGATGGAAACAACCCTGAGCCCTGAAAACGTCATGCGTGTGGCCTTTTCGCATAGCACCCCAGGCCAGGGAACGAGGCACCCTCTCGTCTTGAGGGAGCTCCAGGCTAGACCTGGCACCTTCCTCTCCTTGCAGCTCAGCCGGACTCCCGTGGAGAGGCACTTCAGACACGTGCTGTTCAAGGACATCATCAGCGGGCCTGGGGTTTATTTGCGTTTGGTAGATATTTGACTCAAAGGATTTTCTTTTTCTATCTTTCTCTTTCTTTTCAAATCAGGATCTCACTCTGTGACCAGGCTGGTGTGCAGTGGTATGAACATGGCTCACCGCAGCCTCATCCTCCTGGCAATCCTTCCCCCTCAGCCTCCTGAGTGGTTGGGACTCCAGGCATGCACCACTATACCCCGAAAATTTTTGATTTTGGTAGAGACAGGGCTTCTGTGTTGCCCAGGCTGGTCTTAAATTCCCAGGCTCAAGTGATCTTCCTGCCTGAGCCTCCATAAAAGCTAGAACTACATGCACACACCACTATGACTGGCTATTAAGGGAATTTTTGTAGCAATAGGGTTTTGCTATGTTGCCCAGGCTGGTGTTGAACTCCTGGGCTCAAGCAATCCTCCCGCCTCAGCCTCCCAAAGTGCTGGGGTTACAGGCATGAACGACTGCACTCAGACAGGAGGATTTCAATACGGAAACAGGCAAATCTATGACTGTCGGAATTTAGACCAAAACATGAAGGGCCTCGGGGTCACCCGGAGACGCCGCCTGACACCAGGGGCAGCCCCGCCCCGGACGCCGGCGCTCTCACCGTTGTACTTGGTCTTGCCCCAGCCCGTGGTGGCGCACAGCGTGCCCGCGGGGAAGTCGTCGTCGGCGCTGGGCAGGCACACGGCGGACACGGTCTGGGAGAACTGGGCGGGCGTGGCCAGCTTCAGCAGGGTGATGTCGTTGCGCACGGTGAGCATGCTGAACTTGGGGTTCTTGAAGACCTGCGGGCGGCCAGAGCGGGCTGAGGCCTGGGAGGGGTCGGAACTGCAGGTGCCCAGGAGACGCGCTCCCTCCCCGGGGCCCCCCCAGGAGCCGAGGGCCCACGGGAGCCCATGTCCCCAGCAGCCGGGGGTCCTCTCCCTCCCGCGCCCAGGGCCGGGCGTACCTTGGCGATCTGCAGGACCTGGATGTCCTCCTCGTCGGAGCCCTGGTCAAACTCCCCAGCCACGACCACGTCGGAGGTCCTGGACAGAGCATGGAGGGGAGCACTCAGAATGAGCTCTGCCACCCTCCCCACGCCCATCGGGGATGGTCGCAGACCCGACGGCTGCTCGGCCTTACTTGACCCCGCAGTGGGCGGCGGTGACCACCCAGTCCTCGCTGATCAGGGAGCCCCCGCAGAAGTGGAAGCCGGTTTTGTCCTGGGGAGGAAGATGCACAGGGTGAGCAACTCCGGCCTGGGCAGCTCCCCCACCTGGCCGCCGCCCGCTGTGCCCCACACGGACAGAATCCCCCTCTCACCTGCAGGGACACCTGCCAGGGCCAGGAGCCGGGGATAGCGTCCTCTCCATTGACGATCCTGGACAGGCCACTCAGCACGGGGTGGATGGCGGGGACCCCGCAGCCTGGCGGGTGGGAATGGGGTGAGGGAGGGCTGAGGCCCTGAGCCATTGGAATCTCACCTTCCTGTATGCAGAACTCCCAGTTCTACCTCAGCCCGCCCAGGCCAGCCCAGGACCCCAGTGCGACATGCCACCTCTTCTGGAAACTTCTCCTGGTCCCCCAGCCTCTAGGCTCAAAGATTCCCCCACACGCAACCTGCTGACCCCAGTCATCCTTCCAGGGATGCAGGGGGACATGGCTGCCTCCACCTGGGACCAGTCCCTCTTGAAGGAGGCGAAAACAGGCGGGGCCATGGGTTGTCTGGGCTCGACCCCTGGGCCACCCCTTCCTTGCTGTGTGACCCTAGGCCAGTGGCGGCAGCTGTCCAGTCCTCAGTCTCCTCAGCTGTGAAGTGGGAGAACAACACGAGCTCCACAGGTCAAGGCTCATCTATTAGATGGGTGCGGGAGGAGACATGGAATGAAGACCTGGTAACCGAAAGCCTGTGGGAAATCTGGGACTCTGAGCTTGCTGATGGGGGACTGAAAAGGCGCCATTTCACACCACGCGGTGTGTTGAATCTGCATTTCTGAGATACTTCACACTTTCAGGAACTCTTCGTTGTAAAAGTTTTGGTTTTGTTTTTTTTCCTTCTTGAGTCAGGGTGTCTCTCTGTCGCCCAGGCTGAAGTGCAGTGGCACAATTACGGCTCACCACAGCCTCGACCTCCAGGGCTCAGGAGATCCTCCGGCTTCAGCCTCCCAAGTAGCTGGGACTACGCGTGCATGCCACCATACACAGCTAATTGTTAATTTTTTTGTGGAGATAGGGTCTTGCTCTGTCGATCAGGCTGATCTCAAATTGCTGGCCTCGAGTGGTCCTCCAACCTCAGTGTCCTAAAGTACTGGGATTATAGGCGTGAGTCATCACACCTGGCCTTGGTTTCCTAATTATTTAATACAACCAGATTTTGCCTCCCCGCCATAAAAAGACACATCGAAGAAGCGGAAAACAAACAGAACCAAGGGGAAGACAGGTGCATTTCATACGTCCATGGTGGGTTTGCTGCATCAGGACCAGATGAGTTCTCAGCACCTGGGCCCGGGCTTCATGGTTTGGTTTTACATTTGAGCAGCTGCAGGCTCTCCGACCAGCCATCCCCCTCTGGGGTCACACTGCCCTGCCACAAGCCCAGCACCTGCCTCTCCTGTCGCAGGAACACAGAGATGGGCAGGGCCCTTCCCTGAAGTTTGGTATCACCAAAAAGAAACAAAAAGTTGATACTGTCATAGCAAAAACAGAAATCAGTGGCACACAACAGAGTACATTACAGTGATTCGAGTGAATTCCTAATCTCCATGTCAGCACGGAGAAATTGAAAACATCCTGAAAATGGGAAAAGTATGTTGTAAAACTGAGGTAGCGTAGAATACTGTTATGTGAAATTTTGTTTTTTTTTTTTAGTCAGAGTCTCACTCTGTCACTCAAGGTGGAGTGCAGTGGCATGCTCACAGCCACTGCAGCCTTGATCTGCTGGGCTTAGATGACCCTTACGCCTCAGCCTTCCAAGCAGCTGGAACTACAGGCATGTGCCACCATGCCCTGCTTATTTTTTATTTTTAATTGTAGAGACGAGGTCTCGCCAGGTTGCCCAGGCTGGCCTCAAACCCCTGGGCTCAGGCAATCCTCTCGCCTCCGCCTCCCAAAGTGCTGAGATTAGAGGTGTGAGCCACTGCACCCGACCTGCTTATGTAAAATTGTAAAAACCTTATATATCACTATGGATTTATAAATGGGTAGTACATTGGATAAGCCCACATAAAATGATACACACAGTGAGTTCAGAACAAGGCTTGCCTTCCAGTGAGGGAAGGAGTAGGGAGAGCCAGGCTTTAGCTGAATGTGTTGTTTTTTTTTTTAATTTGAGTTGGAGTCTCACTCCATCGCCCAGGCTGGAGCCCAGTGGCACTCTCATGGCCACCCCAGTGTCGACCTGCTGGGCTCAAGCAATCCTTCCACCTCAGCCTTCCAAGTTGCTGGAACTACAGGCACGCGCTACCACGTCTAGCTAATTTTTTATTTATTGTAGAGATGAGGTCTCACCAAGTTCCCCGGGCTGGTCTCAGACCCGCAGGCTCAGGCAATCCACTCCCTTTGGACTCCCAAAGTGCTGGGGTTATAGGCTGAGCCACCAGGCCCAACCCTGTTAAGTTTTAAAAAGAAATATCTGAAGCAAATCTGCAGAAAGATTTGCCAAATTCAACTGTAGATACATGAATGGCATCATTACTATACTTTTTTTTTACTACTTCTTTATTTTCTATTTCATTTATTTGTTTATTTGAGAGACAGCCTCTTGCTCTGTCACCCAGGCTGAAGTGCAGTGGCATGATTCTGTGTGTGTGTGTGTTGGAGTCTCACTCTGTCACCCAGACTGGTGTGCAGTGGCTGCTCCCGGCCACTGCAGCCTCGACCTGCTGGGCTCCGGCGATCCTTCCGCCTCAGCCTTCCAAGTAGCTGGAACTATAGGCGCGCGCTACCACGCCTGGATAATTTTTTGATTTATTGTAGAGATGAGGTCTCACCGAGTTGCCCGGGTGGGTCTCGAACCCATGGGCTCAGGCAATCCACTCGCCTCAGCCTCCCAAAGGCGCAGGATTACAGGCTGAGCCACCAGGCCCAGCAGCAGTGGCATGATTATAGCTAACTGCAGCCTCAGTCTCCTGGGCTCAAGTGGCTACTCAGTAGCTGGGACTATACATGCCACTATACTCAGCTAATTTTATTTTATTTTTTTGAGTTAGAGTCTCACTCTGTTGCCCCGGCTGGAGTGCAGAGGCATGCTCATGGCTACTGCAACCTCAACCTGCTGGGCTCAGGTGATCCTATTGCCTCATCCTTCCAAGTTGCTGGAACGACATGCCCAGCTAATTTTTTGATTTATTGTAGAGACGAAGCCTCACCAAGTTGCCAGGCTGGTCTGAACCCCTGGGCTCAGGCAATCCACTCGTCTCTGCCCTCAAAGTGCTGGGATTACACGTGTGAACCACCATGCCCAGCATTTTTTTTTTGAGCTGGAGTCTCACTCTGTCGCCCAGACTGGAGTGCAGTGGCCGCTCCCGGTCACCGCAACCTCGACCTACTGGGCTCCGGCGATCTTTCCGCCTCAGCCTTCCAAGTAGCCGGAATTACAGGCATGCGCTACCATGCCCGGCTGATTTTTTTGATTTACTGTAGAGATGAGGTCTCGCTGCCCAGGTGGGTCTCGAACTCGCAGGCTCAGGCAATCCACTCACCTCAGCCTCCCAAAGGCGCGGATTACAGGCTGAGCCACCGAGCCCGGCTCCAGCATATTTTTTTTTAACTGTAGAGACTCACTGTGTTGCCTATTCTGATCTCAAACTCCTGACCTCACGCTGTCCTCCCGACATGGCCTCCCAAAGTGCTGGGATTACAGGCATAAGCCACTGCACCAGCACTAGCCTCTTTCTTTTTAAAAAATAGATAAAAACTCTAGGTGAAGGTCTTGAGTGGTCACACCTCACTCTGTCCACAGCAACCCATCCCGAGCTACTTCTAAAGCCTCAGACCACACCTGGGCCCAGTATTGTCTTTTTCATCCCTGGAGCAGGTGTGAGGGTTCAGAACGCCCCAGAAGGACCCGTCTCCTCCCTGAAACCTCAGGTTGTCTGTGCTGAGGATGAGGCCCAAGGGGCCAGGGTGGGAGGCTCAGATCTCCCTCATGGCCAAGCCCAGGCACCCTCAGGACAGAGCCCCTCTGACCCATCTGATGGGACCTGGCAGTGGGAGCCTCTGGGGTCTTAGGGACCTCCTCCCAGCCTCCCCAGGCCTGGCCGGCCACTGGACCCAGCACTCACCAAAGGCGGCCCCCACAAGGGCGAAGCAGGAGAGGAGCCAGAGACAGGCCATGGTGCTGGAGTCAGAGAAGTGTGGGGCTTTCCTGCTGCGGGTGCCCCTTTTACCTCCCCTGGGGCTCCCAAGCCCCGCCCACCACCTCTTGGCCCTGCCCAACCAGGGAGGCCTGAGACCACCCTCCCTGTTATCCAGGGACCTTGGGCGATAAGTGGGGGCCAAGCCCTTTGCACAGCCCAGCCTGGCTCTCAGCCGGGGACACCCTAGACCCTGGGAAAAGGGCAGCTGTCCTGTCCTGACATCACCCATCAGCCTGGGCAACTCAGCATTCCCAGAGTCAGCAGCCCTTCTGTTCCAGCTTTGGACTGAGGGCAGTCTCACCGCAGTGTTCACAGAATGCCAGCAGGGAGGCTTGCAGAAGGTCTTGTGGTACCAGGGCCCCAGGGCCGTGGCAGTGGCTGCAGGTTCTCAGCAAAGAGTGTTCAGTATAACATTCATCTCAAAGTCAAGGCTGGGCAGGAGGTGAACCATGATCCGTGCCCAGTCTCACAGAGTGAGACCTCGACTCAAAAATTAAATGAATAAATAAAAGTAAAGACTAGACCAGGCCGGGTGTGGTAGCTCACGCCTGTAATCCCAGCACTTTGGGAGGCCAAGGTGAGAGGATTGCCTGAGCCTATGGGTTTGCGACCAGCCTGGGCAACGAGGAGAGACCTCATCTCTACAATAAATACGAAATTAACCAAGTATGGTGGTGCATGCCTGTAGTTCCAGCTACTTGGAAGGCGGAAGCAGAAGGCCTGGCAGGTCGAGGCTGCAGTGGCCCTGAGTGTGTCACTGCACTCCAGCCTGGGCAACAGAGTGAGACTGACTCAAACAAACAAAAAAAGACTAGGCCAGGCACAGTGGCTCATATCTGTAATCACAGCACTTTGGGAGACTGAGGTGGGAGGATTGCTTGAGTCCATGAGTTCAGTGCCAGCCTGGACAACACCTTGTCTCTACAAAAAAAAAAAAAAAAGTAGCCAGGCATGGTGGTGAACGCCTGTAGTTCTAGCTACTCAGGAGGCTGAGATGAAAGGACTGCTTGAGCCCAGGAGATCAAAACTCTGATAAGCCATGATTGTGCCACTGCACTCCAGCCTGAGTGACAGAGTGAGACTCCAACGAAAAACAAAAAACATAAAAATAAAGGCTGGGCCAGGTGTGGTGGCTCATGCCTGTAACTCCAGCACTTCAGAAGGCTGAGGTGGGAGGACAGCTTGAAGCCAGGAGTTCGAAACCAGCCTGGGAAACATAGCAAGACCCATCTCTATGAAAACAAACAAATAAACAAATGAAGAAATAGTAAATAAAAGTAGAAGCTGGCGCAGCATTGTGGATTATCCAAAGTGTCACCATGTCAGTCACCAGATCAGCCAAGCAGTTTCAAGTGTGGTGAGCATGTGGGTGAGAAGGAACTGCCCACTGGTGGCCATCACAGGTGGACAAACCCAGAGACACGCCCTCCCAGGGCTGCCAGATGGAATTCTTTTCCCGTGATGATTCACAATTTAAGGAAACAGTCATTGTATAGAGTTTTAGCTTCTGACAAAAATAAAGCTCTGATTCCACAGGACAAAATGACACAGAAAACAGCTTTTGAGAAAACAGAAAAGGAACTCTTTTCGTTGTCACAGAACAATGAGAGAATGACAGGCCAGTGACTAGGGGTGGGAACCCTTGGCACCATGTGAGCAGACACTCAGGGGTCAGGGCCATGGCGCCCCTGCCCTTGTGGGTCTGAGGCTCTCATGACAGACACAGCCACTACCCAAATGAGCACGTAACGCAGTGACCATGGTTGCCAGGGCAAGGCTGCTAGAGTTGCCATCATAGTCTCAGGATCTGTGGTCAGCAGGGCCACGTCACCTTGGTGGAAGCTGGTCCAAGCGAGCATCACTCATCTGAGTGAGCGATGGGTCAGTGGGATGCTTAAAGCAATACTCTTGATTCCTTTAGAAGTTTTGTCTTCCACTGATACATCAGTTTTGTTTGAGTTGTCTGCTCTCCAGCCGGGGGAGAGGACTGGTGGAAACTGTGACCAGGCCACACGGGACAGGGTCCTGCAGGCCTGACCGTGTCTGCAGAACTCTGCCACACTTCAGGGGACACGGAGGACTGGGCCGATGGCTCTTTCCTGACTGGTTCTGAAGCCTTTTGACATTTTATCAGCCTGAGTCACCACCCAGGGATGTCCCTACTTATTGTCAGCCCCAGCTCTGTGCTTAAGGAATTCGTATTTAAGTTCTAGACCAGTTGATTGAAATATCAACATTTGGCCGGGCTTGGTGGCTCAGCCTGTAATCCCAGCACTTTGGGAGGCCGAGGCGAGTGGACTGCCTGAGGCTGTGGGTTCAAGACCAGTCCGGGCAACTTGGCCAGACCTCGTCTATACTATACAATCAATAAAAAATTAGCCGGGCGTGGTAGCGCACGCCCGTAGTTCTAGCTACTTGAAAGACTGAGGCAGAAGGATCGCCGGAGCCCAGCAGGGAGACACTGGGGTGGCTGTGAGTGTGCCACTGCTTTCCAGCCTGGGAGACAGAGTGAGACTCCAGCTCAAAAAGCAATGTTAATATTTGCTGGGTTTTTTCCGTTACTCCTTCCAAGCAGGTAGCCAAGCCTGCTTCAGGGATTTTTCCAGAGCAGAAAACAGCAGCAGCCTGAATTCATGGGGCTCTTCAGGCCTGGAGTAAAAGCTGAATTCTCAGCAGACTTGCATATAGGAGTCACAAGGCCTGGAAGCTTCCAGGAAATGGGGGAGAACCTCTCCAGTTTGCAAAGGGGAGACTTTCCTCTGGGGAGGCCAAGGGCGGCTGGATAACATCTGTATGTGTTTCTGCCAAAGTGTTTTTCACTTCTTGTGGTCCACAACCCTTCTCCCATCCAAACCAGACCTTGAGACAAGCATGCCCAGGGGCAGGGTGACAATTCTGTTACAAAGAGTGACAGCCAACTCTGTTTTTTGTTTGTTTGTTTGCTTTCGAGTCAGGGTTTCACTCTGTTGCCCAGGCTGGAGTGCAGTGGCAGGATCATCACAGCCTTGACCTCCTGGGCTTGGAAGAGCCTTCTGCTTCAGCCTCCTGAGTAGCTGAGACTGTGAGTGTGTGCCACCATGCCCGGCTAATTTTTTTTTCTTTTTAATTTTCCGTGGAGATGAGGTCTCGCTATGCTCTTTAGGCTGGCCTTAAATACTTGGGCTCAAGCAATCCTCTTATCTTAGCCTCCCAAAGTACTGGAATTATTATAGGTATGACCCACAGTGCCCAGCCTAGACCTCTGATTAATACAATCCCAATAAACAGAGAGACAGGAGCCCAGGCACTCCCCCTCTGCATTTCTACACGTTCTTGTGGGATGTGGGGCTTTGACCACCATCTGGAGACTATGAGAAGAATGACAGACACCCTGACCCAGAAGTACAACACTGCTGAGCTGCGGAACACGAGCCTATGGCTGCTTACTTCCAAATCTCTGCACACAGAATAAAAGAAAATGCCTATGAGGGGGACCCCAAAAAACCCTGGAATTAGGCCGGGCTCGGTGGCTCAGCCTGTAATCACAGCACTTTGGGAGGCTGAGGCGAGTGGATTGCCTCAGTCTGCAGGTTTGAGACCAGCCCAGGCAATTTGGCGAGAGCTCGTCTCTACACTCAATCAAAAATCAACCAGGCGCGGTAGTGCATGCCTGTAGTTCCGGCTACTTGGAAGGCTGAGGTAGAAGAATCGTGGGAGCCCAGCAGGTCAACGCTGGGGTAGCCATGAGCGTGCCACTGCACTCTAACCTGGGCGACAGAGTGAGACTCCAACTCAAAAACAACAACAACAACAAAACCCTGGAATTTATTTATTAAAAATTGTGCTTTTATTGTTACTTATTTAAACTTCAGTCCCCTTCACTCCCCTACTCTCCATTTGATGAAATACACCTATCAAGACACTTTTTCCACTGCTCAAAAGTTTTTGAACTTGTTAGCTTTGATGCTTTTTAGTGCTTCTGCCGTTTCTTGTTTCACCTCTTCCGCATGGGCAAAATGTTTCTCTTTGAGGACTTTTTCCATTCAGGGAAACAAGAAAAAGTTGCTTGGAATGAGATCAGGTGAATAGGGAGGGTAGGGCATGGAGGTCATGCCCTTTTGGTCAAAAACTGCTGAACACTTAGCACGATGTGGGCAGGTGCATTGTGATGTTGGAAGAACCAGTCACCTGTTTGCCATAACGCGGGACATTTCTTCTGCAAATCGTGAGGCAGTCTTCTCAAAACTTCCAGATAAAAACTTTGGTTGACCGTTTGATCCAGAGGAACAAATTCCGAGTGTACTCCAAGGGACCCGCCCTCAAAAGATAATGATGGTTTTTTTTGGGGGGGGTTCCCCCTTGCATTATTTAGCCACTATCAGCCATGCATTTGATTACAAAAAGGATCTTAATTGGCTTTATACGTTTTTAGGGACATAAGGAAAAAAAGCATCTTAAGTTATACAACACCCATAATAATGGCACTGGGCAGCTTCCTGTTCCCCGCTCAGACCCACTCTCCTCCCCTCTCCAGGAGCCTGACCTCCGGGGGCGGGACTGCATGACAGGTCCTAGGCCCTCAATGGGCTCGGCCAGCAGGAGCCGCCCTGGAGAGGGTGAGAGGAGAGGACCTCTGGTTCCCTGCCTTGGGGGCGGCCAACCCTCTGCAGAGGCCACAGCCCCTTCCCTGCGGCCCTCTCCAGGCAGGTTCCAGAACCCTCACTCTCCTTATCCCTTCAGCTTTTGGTATGTCCTTATTGCTGCCGGGCCGGTACACATCACCATTCTTTATTGGTTTCCCTAAATCCTGTCCATGCTTTTGTAAAAAAAAATTCCCTTTATTAACACTCTCCTCAAATTACCCAGTTTGAGCGAGACCTGTGACTGACACAGTAATGGTGACCCCAGAAACACTGGATAATGGGATTCTGGGGCTGAGTTGCTCACATCCATGAGGCGTCCACAAATGACCTCTTTGTGGGGGAAAATGAGACTCCGGTGGTCCATGCCATGGAG